GAGGTGATGGGATCTGTGATGGGGACTTAAATGAACAAGAGGTTTAGAAACACTAATTCAAGTCTATCTCCTTCATAATACAAATAAAGAACCTAAGACCCTTTAAACCTATAAACTTCTTGAGTAAAGGAGCTGAGTTTTGTCTACCAAAATGCATTGTAAACATTCAAAATAAAAACTTGTTTGAATGAGTGAAGTTAAAAACATACCCAAGATCAAAAAACTAGTTAGTGTCAGAGTTAAGCCAATGATAACATCTCTCGGTTAGAGGTCTTGTTTTGCCTATCCACCTTTATGGAAGCGTCCCATTATCACTATGCTGAAGGCCCAGAAAAACACTGGTGAAGGTGGACTTTCCCACGAAGCCGACTTTGTACTGCAGAGTGGCATGTGGGAATATTAATACAGAGTGCTCCTATGATCAACTCTTTAAGAAGAGCAGGGAAAGAAGTAGGATTAGGCAAAGGAAAAAGTTTAACTGTGGTGTAGTGCCAAAGGAGGCTCGAGGCTTTTGACTTGAAAGCAGAGGTCCTCAACCCCCAGGCCACGGACCAGTTCCTTTACTCACATTTCTTGTGCACACCCATATATCCTTTCTCATGCCCCTCTACCTCAGACATCCTTCTTACCAATCTACTAATTTTTCTTCTTCCAAGTCCCTTTCCAACCAGCCAAGCCATTCACCCTTCCCCATGAGTCCATGTATATTTTAACCTAGGACTATTTCTCTCACTACACAAAGGGAATAATGAAGTGCACCTTCCAAAGATCTGCCCCTCAGGAGGATATTCCCTGATCACTTCTCTTTCAAGGACACACAAATGGAGCTGTAGTTCAACTACAATATCAAACTGACCCATCCGTGAATCTAATGTGGGCTTTTTTTGCTTTACCAACTGATCAAAGGTATCACTCATGGAGGTATAAGTTGAGGGAAAGGCACTTAGGCAATGGTAGTGGATGACATGAAAGAGTCCAGTTCACCTGCTCATGCAGCTTGCACCCTCTGGTCCTGCTTGTGTTCACCACTTTCATCTTAGGATAGATCATTACTGAACAACTGTGACCACGATGTCACCTGAGTGATATCTCAGCGCCAAGCAACACATCACTCCCAGGGCTCTGTAGCATGCCAGAAGCTATTTTTCAAAAGGTATATAAATCTCTGCTGTGTATTCTGAACATGCTTCTGAATTCAACAAGTTTGTGTTGTGAGTCTCTCACTGAAACTTGTCATAAACTCCATATATCCATATATTCCATTCTGTGTCTTTTCCCACGACTGATATCCCTTATATGCAAATGTAGGGCACTACCACCCATATGCAGTAAAATCTATCATAATTTTTTCTGAGTTTTAGCTAGTATAATATCTTAAATATAAATATACAAATTTTCTTTTTCTTGAATCTAAGCTTTAAATTTAATCTCCACATTCAACTTTTTCTGTAATTAACCTAACTTATGGGCAAGGAGGAGAGGTTAAAAAGTGGCCAGAATCATTAAAGACAACAGGCTACAGAAGATTAGAGGGTGGAGCACTTACTTCCCTTTGGGAGTGTGAGAGATTGAATGATGACCCATCCAAAAATATCCACATACTAATTTCTAGAACCTAAGAATTTATCCGATATGGGAAAAAATATTTTACAGATGTTATTAAGGGTCTGGGTGGATCCTAAGTGCAATTACATGTATTTGTATTAAGAGAGAGACAGAAGGAAACACACACACTCAGGAGTAGAGAAGGCAATAACATAAGCATGGAGACAGAGACTGGAGTGATGTGCCACAAGCCAAAAGAATGACAGTAGTCACCAAATCCCAGTAGCAGCTGCAAAAGGCAAGGAACAGATTCTCCACTAGAGCCTCTTGGGAGAATATGGTTCTGTCAACACCTTGATTTTGACCCAGTAAAAATAATCTCTTATTTCCAGCCTCCAGAACTATAAGAGAATAAAGTTCTATTGTTTTAAGTCATCAAAGTTTGCAGTAATATGTTAACAGCAGCGAGAGAAAACTAATATAGAGATAAATAGGAATAATAAAGAAAAACCTTATGTAGTGAATACAATTTTAATGGTAGATAAGATTTACATATATTGTGATTGAAAAGAAAGAGAAATAGTAGGGAAGGGGTAATATTACAGGTAGAGGGGAAAGTATTACAGGTGAAGGGAAAAGTTAGTGAAAAAGAAATTTAAGGGAGTTATACAGGGAAAACAAAAGTAGTTCAATTAAACAACAGTACAAGCTACTTGAAGATAGTGATATAGACTGTTGATAATCATGAATGCCAGTCTAAATGTGAACTTCGATCTGTAGACAGTTAAGGTTTTCTGCAACTTGTAAGGACAGGGTTAGAGCAGGGGAGGTAAGAGAGGAGGAAACACCAACATGATACACCTTTTGCACATCTGTGTCACACTACTAATTTTTTCCTCTTCACCCTCCAACACAGGTATAAGGGCTGAGATTGATTCCCCATGACCTACCAAAAAAGTATGGCATATATGTTTGATGAATAGTGAATGCGTTAACAAATACTGTACATGTTTTGTTTTACTCATCACTAAGCATGGTATGAGAGAGTAGAACAGAATACTAAACTGTACTTCAATCACTTACTTTTACTCTTCGTCTGATTATGATGATGATTTTATTTTAAAAGTAATATTCCAAGTATAAGAGATTTGGACTTAATTTGATTAACCCTAAGGCATACTTCAGAACACCAATAGCAATTCTAGTCAATTCCACTCAGTTAATGGTGGCTGTCTGGGGCAATGTTGAGAAATAATGTAAGAATTAAGCCATAATAGATTAGGAACATCTGCTAAAGTGCTGGATTCGGAGTAGAAACAGAAATGGCCTGTTTCCCATTCCATTCCCATTCCATTCTTGCTTTAGAAGTTAGTTATTTGCATACAAATGGCCGACAGGTATATGAAAAATTGCTCAACATCACTAGCCATAAGAGAAATGAAAATCAAAGCCATAATGAGATACTCTCTTATCCCAGTCCAAATGGCTACTGCTAAAAAGACAAAAAATAATGGATGTTGGTGAGGATGCGGAGAAAAGAGAACTCTTATACACTGTTGATGAGAATGTAAATTAGTACAGCCACTGTGGAAAAGAATATGGAGATTTCTCAAAAAATTAAAAATAGAATTATTCAATCCAGCAATCCCACTATTGGGTATCTACTCAGAGGAAAAGAAATCAGTATATCAAAGGGATACCTTGCATGTTTATTGCAGCACTATTCACAATAGCAAAGATATGGAATCAACCTAAGTGTCCATCAACAGATGAATGGATAAAGAAAATGTGGTATATATACACAATCGAGTACTATTCAGTAATAAAAAATGAAATCTTGCCATTTGCAGTAACATGGATGGAGCTGGAGGTCATTACCTTAAGGAAAATAAGCCAGGCACAAAAAGACAAATATCACATGTTCTCACTTATATGTGGGAGCTAAAAAATTTTAGAGCTCCCACATGGAGGAAGAGAGTGGAAAGACAGGTAACAGACTGGGAAGGATGAGTTAGCAGGATGAACAGAGTGGGTTAAAGATTACAAACATGGAGTCAGACAGAAGGAATATATTCAGTGTTTGACAGCAGAGTAGGGTAACTATAGTTAAACAAAAATATATTGTATTTGGATGACAGACACCCTAAATACTTGTAACAAAATTTCTCATTACCCCAAAAATTTGTACAAATAAAGTTAGTCACTTGGTTTCTTTAAAAACTTTTTGGCCAGGCGCGGTGGCTCATGCCTATAATCCCAGCACTTTGGGAGACTGAGGCGGGCAGATCACCTGAGGCCAGGAGTTTGAAACCAGCCTGGCCAACAGAGCGAAACCCCATCTCTACTAAAAACAAAAAAAAAATTAACAGGGCGTGGTGGTGTGCGCCTCAGCCTCTGGAGGCTGAGGGGCGGAGGTTGCAGTGAGCCAAGATCGCGGCACTGTACTTCAGCCTGGGTGACAGAGCTGGCTCTGTTTCAAAAATGAAAAAATTAAAAAAAAAATCATTTCTATGACTTCTTAAGTACAGAAAGAAAAATTTCGTTTAAATGGAGATGTCCACTGGTTGAATATGGTTAATCCAAGATATGCTGCATTCAAGTAAAAAGCAGACAAAGTCTTGAATTCAGAGGGAATAGAGGGCTGTTTTTCTTTTTCCATTCTGAGTTGAGAGCACTAACTATCCTAGCTGGAAAGACAGAGTAGATCATAGTCATCCTCTTTGTCGGGGTACAACTAGCTTACGGTTGCACTCTGGAGATGCAGAGCCAGTATGGGTAACTATTCTAAAATCCTTAAATCGCTGCTGGGCCCTCGAAGTCCTACCCGTGTAGGTCAGGCCGAACTATCAAAATCCCCACTTCCTCTGTAAAGGCACCCTGACAGGTAGGGATGACCGCCGCGCTCTCCACGTGTCACCTTAAACACCTACCCCCAACCAGCGCAGGCGCACTCCGAAGCCTCCTGGACCAACTTAAGTACCGAGCAAGCGCAGGAGTTCCGTTAACCATGGCCTCCGGAGCTGTCCGGAGCAGGCGCAATTAGGAGCAGAGGGCGTGCTTGTGTGATTACAGTCCATTTTACCTTTAACAGATTTGGTTGTCTGCACTCTAGCTCAGGTTATTTTACCCCTCTCTTGTTGGAAGTCACTTTGCCTAGAGTAGTTGTTTGCGGGAAAAATTTGCTCCTCCCATTAAGTAACCACTTTGCTCTCAGAGGCGGAACGCGTCATTGAGGCAGCAAGTCCTGACAGATATGGGAAAAAAAAAAGGCATATTGTAGAGAGCATCTACACTCCGCCAACTCAGTCATAAGGCAAAAATTACACAAAAATAAAACGTTCACTTGTTACATACTATATGCTTCATAAAACATACAAGTAGTTTTATTTTCCTTTACCAATGAGAACAGCACTTCTATCTATTAACAAGGACCTATAGTAAGACGCAGCGCGTGCGCGAGCCATCCAGCAGCTGTAAAGCGCTTAGAGGCCGGAATAACGACCTGCCTTGCGCTTTCCGGCTGTCGTGGGAGAGGCATCTGGGCTCGGACAGGGGCCGCCATGGGGAAGGTGAATGTGGCCAAGTTGCGTTACATGAGCCGAGATGACTTCAGGGTCTTGACCGCGGTAAGAAATCCGCCGTTCCTGTTCTCCCTTGCCTCTTACCACTGTGTGACCTCTTCCTGTTCCTGCAAGTTTTCTGGGATCTGAGCAGGCACACTCTGGGACCCAGGACGTGGCAGAAGCTGGGAATGGAGAAGAGAGCATCAGAGAGTTGGATTTTTTAAAAGGTTTTGTTTGGGACCTTACCTTCCCCCAGATAGGGCAAAGGTCCCATCTTCTAATAATTTTCTTCTTTGCTGCTGCTATTCGCCTTGCGCAGAAAACAAACGCTCGCATCTCTGTGGCCTGGAAACTTCTCTGATCCTGAGCTTCCGACCAGCTGTGAAAGATTTAAGGCCTCTCCTAAGATTTGATAATATTGACTTCCCTACTAACAGACTCAGTCGCATAGCAGTCTTTCTGATTCATTCAGTCAACACATATTTGTCGGGTTTTTAGTAGCAACATTAGGAGGTTCACTTATTCAAACAGACAAGTGGAGACAGACAGATCATCAAGTAAACGAATAAGTAGGATAATGGATAAATGCTATGAAAATGATAAAGGATAATGGCATAGAAAGTATATGTATCTGGTGGAGAGGAGGGGCACGTCCTTGGTAGACAATGAATAAACATTCGCTAAATGAAAGAATGAATGGGGGAATAGTAGGAGCTGTGTGAGAAGGAGACAGCCCAGTGAAGTCCTTGGAAAGAGTTGGAGGCAGAGGAAACAGAAGTAATAAGTGCAAAGGCCTTGAGGCAGAAAAGTCTTTGAAGAGAGGAAAGGCCAGTGTGGCTGGAGCAAAGTGAGACAGACACTAATGGTTGGAGATGTAGCTGGAAAAGGTGAGCGATTACGTACTACAGAGCCTTGGAGGCTTGGTAAAGAGTGTGGGGGTAACCACTGAATGTTTTTGATCAGGGGAGTAACAAAATCTGATTTTATGGCCTTAGTCGTATGGCACAGAAATTAATACATAGATCGAGACATTTGTACAGTGAAGCAGTACATTTATTTAGGAGCCGTTATCTTTTGGTAAAAAGTGAACCGCATGATAAGGACTACCTATATTGTGTAATTATGTTACAGGATATGCGATGTGAGTCACACCAGTTCTGGTATTATGTTAAGGCTTCAAGTGTTGGATTTTTAAAATTAATCTTAAATAGCACTTAAGGATTAAACTATCAAATGCAAAATCAGTGTGAAATTTGGAAGACAATATTTACTTTGTCTCTCATGTAGATTCTTCTAATCAGCTGGACTTTCTCTATGAAAACCTATCAGTTCTGAAAGATACCTTCCTTTCCTGCTTCCTCAGCACACTCATTCCTTAATGCCTCTGACAGAAGTAGGGGTCAAAAGTAAGAGTGTTAGAGGATGGGGGAGGCAGAGACAAAGCATGGAAAATAAGTTAAATTTAAAAGTTAAGGTTTTGGTGAGACATCAAAATGATGCCAGATTTATCTTCCAAAACATTGGCGCTGTAATATTTAAATTATTTGTAAAGCTCACTAAGAAATGACTTAGTCATTAAATATGACATTCTAGTCTCAGTTGAATCTTACCAGTGTTGGTACCCTTTCTTGGGCCTCTCTTCTCTTTTACTTCTTTGACTCCTCCTATATCAATAATCATTGTTTGACTAGCGGCCCTTAGCTTTCAATATGAACTTGCCCCACAATTCTGCTCCCAAATATTCCTTTTCTTCCATTATCTCTTGCTCAGTGATTGCATCCACTTCATATCTTCAACTCTCACTTCTATAAAATAATTGACAATTTTTCTTTCTAATTATAACTTCATTCCTAAATATAGGCCCCTTTCCAATTTTCTTTCTTTTTTTCTTTCTTTCCCTCTTTCCCTTCCTCCTTTCCTTCCTTCCTCCCTCCCTCCCTTCCTCCCTTCCTTCCTTCCTTTTCTTTCTTAGATGGAGTCTCACTCTGTCACCAGGCTGGAGTGCAGTGGCGCCATCTCAGCTCACTGCAACCTTCACCTTCCAGATGCAAGCGATTCTCCTGCCTCAGCCTCCCGAGTAGCTGGGACTACAGGCGCACACCACCACGCCCAGCTAATTTTTGTATTTTTAGTAGAGATGGGGTTTCACCATGTTGGCCAGGATGGTCTCGATCTCTTGACCTCATGATCTGCCCACCTTGACCTCCCAAAGTGCTGGGATTACAGGCATGAGCCACTGCACCTGGCCGCCAATTTTCCTTTAAACATTTTTATTTGACTCTTAGTGCTCAGACCAAATTCAATTTTTTTCTACCCCCTTTCTCTTTTCCCAAGCTCTATAAAAAAATATATATGTATATAATCTTAAAACTTGCTTTTCCTCTTCACTTGCAGTTGTGGCTTTCCATTCCCTTTACCCTTCCACATTTAATTGCCAAGCTCTCCCATAATACTTCCTGAAGATCTTTAATTCCTTCCTTTCAGTACCACTACCACTTACCCTGTTCTGGGTGCTCTTTCCTCTGAGCTGGACTTCTGTCTTAGTTCTCCAGAGTACCCCCTCAGATTTTGCCGTCTGTAAGCCAATTTGCATATTCCTGGTAGATTAATGTCCTTAAAATAACCTTGTTCATGTGTCTCCCATGCCTAAACATCTTTAAGAGTGTCCTGCTTTCGTCAGGATAAAATATAAAAATCTTTGGTCTACATTTTAATGCCTTCTCTATCCTAGAAGTATCTTCCAGCCGTGTTTGCATGAACTCTATATGCTATCCCATCTGAGCTGCGATTGTACTCAGCTATTCTCTGTGGTCAGTACTTTCTTGCATATGTGCCATTTTCAAATCTTTTTCTTTCACTAATATCCCCTTGTCTGTTTTCTCTGTATGCCCACATCTTTTAAAAGTCAGTCTCTAGTTTTGTATCTTCCTCGGAACTGATCCCTCAGCTAGAAGTATTATTCTGCCCTGAGCTACCTTTTTAAGCACTTATCACTTCTTACCTTCTAATAAACTTAGATGTGTACCATTTTTAAAAATCTTCATCATGAGATAAAAATTCCTCAGAGATAAAAAGCACATATATATATAAAATACTTTAAGTTCTGGGGTAAATGTGCAGAACGTGCCGATTTGTTACACAGGTATACATGTGCCATAGTGGTTTGCTGCACCCATCAACCCATCATCTACATTAGGTATTTCTTCTAATGCCATCCCTCCCCTAGTCCCCAACCCCCTGACAGGCCCCAGTGTGTGATGTTCCCCGTCCTGTTACCATATGTTCTTCTTACTGTTCAGCTCCTACTTATGAGTGAGAACATGCGGTGTTTGGTTTTCTGTTCTTGTGTTAGTTTGCTGAGAATGATGGTTTCCGGCTTCATGTCCCTGCAAAGGACATGAACTCATCCTTTTTTATGGCTGCATAGCATTCCATGGTGTATATGTGCCACATTTTCTTTATCCAGTCTATCATTCATATGTATATATCTATATCTATATCCTCTACAATGCCTACATTTAGTACTTTCTCATTAAATACCTGCTTAATAAATATCTGGCACATCTGTAGTTTTTAAAGACAAATGTTTAAGTGTCATCAAGTATTTTAGCTTTTACCAAATGTCATCAGTATGTCTAGCATTCACAGTTCCTACTCTTGAAATGGAAAGACTATATATATATATCAGTGATTAGATTTCAAATTGCAGTTTAAAAGTATTTTCAGAGACAGAAGTGATTATGTCTCAGAATTAGTTGGAGAACTGCATAGTCAGGAAAGTTTCAAGGAGAAGTTAATTTCTTCACAGGGTTTTGATAGACAAGGCTTTGTGTTGATTATGATTATGTAATAATTCCTTTAATTTCAGGTTGAAATGGGCATGAAGAACCATGAAATTGTTCCCAGCAGTTTGATTGCTTCTATAGCCAGCCTTAAACATGGTGGCTGTAATAAAATTTTAAGAGAATTAGTGAAACATAAACTCATAGCTTGGGAGTGTACCAAAAGTAAGTATTTTGAGGCACCGTTTGTGATTTTTCAAGTAATCGGTTTCCACCAGAGCAAGTGTTCCAAAAGTCAAGAAGTAGAAGTTGCCAGACCAATAAAGCATTAAACAAATAACTGACAAAACATACTTTGGCCATATCCTATTAGTCAAAACAATCACAGGGCACACCCAGATCAAAGGAGGTGGAGAAAGAGTAGTAGTAAGAACATGTAAGATACTGCAGAAGAGCATGTAGGTACTGCAGAAGAGCACATAGGTGCTACAGAAGAGCATGTAGAGTACTGCAGAAAAGCATGTAGGTACTGCAGAAGAGCATGTAGGGTACTGAAGAAGCGCATGTAGAGCACTGCAGAAGAGCTTGTAAGTACTGCAGAAGAGCACGTAGGTGCTGTGGAAGAGCATGTAGAGTACTGCAGAAAAACATGTAGAGTACTGCAGAAGAGCAGGTAGATACTGCAGAGGGGTGTATAGACTACTGCAGAAGAGCATATACAATACTGCAGTAGAGCATGTAGGTACTACAGAAAAGCATGTAGAATACTGCAGAAGAGCATGTAGGATAGAGATATTGTGGCTACCATCTTTGGAAAATACAATCAGCAGTCATACCCTGGATCATTACTTCTGAAACCATCTGTGGTGAGGGATTAGTCTATCACATATCCTTCCTTTTATAAATTACAAAAGAAAAATTACTAGAAAAATGAAATGGATAATGGATATACAAAAACAGACATAAATTCTAGATCAAATTGATAAAAAAAATTTGAACTTAAATTCCTCCTTTTATCTCGTCACAAATACTTATAGACCTATCTTTAGGTCACATTTTGATTATCAGTACATTGGAGAAGAAATGCAAATTATAGGAAGAAATTGGAAACTTGTGAGCCTGGGTAGTTTATCTTTTTCCAACGAAGACTTTCCATTGTTAAATATTTCTTATGACTTGAACTTATGTGACTTAGTTGTACAGTGTAACTGAAATATGGTCTTTCTCCTTTGATTTTGTCTAGCTGTCCAGGGCTATCGGTTGACAAATGCAGGATATGATTACCTAGCTTTGAAAACACTTTCTTCTAGGCAAGTAGTTGAGTCTGTTGGAAACCAGATGGGTGTTGGCAAAGAATCAGGTAAGTGATAATAGTACTGTGCAAAGTATTTTCTTTGCTTTAGTTTATGTTTTCCCTTCAGAAAGGATTCCTCTTTTAATTTTCCCTTTTCTCTAACTAAACAGTAAATCGAAAAGTTGATTGGAAGCAATACAAATCAGAAAGTGCCCTTAATTAGTAGGTTACTATTTTCTCTCTGAAAGTCTATCATTGAAAGTTCATTTATACCAGGAATTAATTTTATTCTAATAACTCCCAAGGTATCTCATTATTTATGTGCAAATATACCAAAATCCAAAATTCAAAACACTTCTGGTCTGAAGGTTTTGGATGAGGAGGGATACTCAACCTTTATTAGGAAAAATGACATTTTTGAAACAAAATCAGAGAAAGTTAGAATTGTTTTAACTGATTGGAATACACTTGTAATAATGGTTGTTTTTGAAATTTTGCCTCTAGATATTTACATTGTTGCAAATGAGGAAGGACAACAATTTGCATTAAAGCTTCACAGACTAGGAAGAACCTCGTTTCGAAATTTGAAAAACAAACGTGATTATCATAAACATAGGCATAATGTGTCTTGGCTTTATTTATCGCGTCTCTCTGCCATGAAGGAATTTGCCTATATGAAGGTATTTATTTTATAGTCATGCATTTTTTAGCCAAATAATACATGTGTCTCAAAGGCCTTAATGACAAGTGTGATTCTGTTGTCCCCACATCTGTCTAACCTTAGACTCAATTCCTACAGGCAGACTCAGTCCTAAATAACTGTTGATTATTCGGGCTCTTTTCCCTTCTATGTTAAGGTATTTTAAATAGTTACGAATGCATAAGGGCAACACATTCTATAATGCTGACAAGATGGAAGAGCCAAAAATAATTAATGATGCTGTTACCTCACAAATATGTATGTGTGGATGTATATATGTCTATTCAATGTATATAGCTATACATATGTCTGTTTCTAATTGAAAACACCAGGCAATTATCATCTGTAGAAACCTCAGTGTCTCAGATAAGTTGGCTAGTTTTTTGTTTCACATAAAGGAACAAATATCATTTATAGATTTATATGTATATTAAAAATGGTAAAAATTGGCTGGGCGCAGTGGTTCATGCCTATAATACCAGCATTTTGGGAAGCCGAGGTGGGCGGATTACTTGAGGTAAGGAGCCCAGCCTGGCCAACAAGGTGAAACCCCATCCCTACTAAAAATACAAAAATTAGCCAGGCATGGTGTTGGGCACCTGTAATCCCAGCTACTTGGGAGACTGAGGCAGGAAAATCACTTGAACCCAGGAGGCAGAGGTTGCAGTGAGTGAAGATCGTGCCACTGCACTCAAGCCTGGCTGACAGAGCAAGACTCTGTCTCAAAAAACAAAAAAGGTAAAAATCTTTCGTTTTTAAGAGGTAAGGATGAAGAGAAGTGAGTTAAAGAGTACAAACATACAATTAGAAGGAATACATTCAATGTTTGATAGCAGAGTAGGGTGACCATAGTAAACAAAATGTATTGTACTCAGGAGATGAACACACTAAATACCCTGACTTGATCACTACTCATATATACTTAACAAAATGTTGTATGTACCTCATACATTTATCCAAATAGAAAAAAAATACTTAACCTGGCAGATGAAATGCCAAACTCTCAAAGATGGTTTTCTCAGGGTTAGGCCTATTCATTGCACTTCAGGTATGCCGATCCCTGCAGTTACCCCAAATATTGGAACTTGACTGCATATTTTGGGGTACTGGCGGACTACATTTGACTCTCCCCTGACATTTAAAAAAAAACAACAAAAACCTTTATTTTTAACTTTTTGCCTTCAAAATTAAGTTCAGCATATGTTTGTTAAATATAATAATATCCAAATTAAATATATTCAACAATAACTAAGTTAAACAAAAGGCAATATTGTGTTTTTATTATTCTGCCAGTATGATTTGTCATAGTTTATCTTCATTTTTCAAAAAAATTTGAAGATTGCTACAGTGTGTGAACACACTGTTCCTTGAGGATTCAGCTTGTTCTCTGAGTGGGTTGTATACTTACATTTTCACTAATCATGGGAGATTTCTTAAGGCAGTATAAATTAGTATTACTGATACCATACATGTTAATGTATTTCTTGTTTTATACTAATAGTTTGTATCTTGTAATATTCAGTCAGTAAATGAGCAGCTTGGTAGGGATCATTTACACATTTTGCCAAAACTGTAGTAGGTGTTTTTCAGGATATTTATATTGAAGGTATAGGAATGGAATCTGGTTGCACATAAATGTACATCTTAAATATGTTGATTTTTCATAAGAGAGGAACAATAAGATAAAGATTGGGCTATAGCATGAGTTCTAGGCGATAGCACAAGTTCTAGACAAATATTCACAATCTTTGAGTTTATCACATGCTGTTGATCTGCCAAGGTATGCTCAAAATGGTCTACATTGAAAAAAAGTACGTAAAAACAAAGCAAAGAAAAATATCTGGGAAGTGGAAAGTTGTTTGGTTCTTGTTCACAGAAGGTAAGTGATAGGCAACCTTTTGAAATTAATTGCTGGGGTTTAGTGTGGGGTGAAGGAGTGGATGCCAAAGAAATAACCAGTACAATCTGTGTCTTAAAGTTGAGAAGATAACACAAACACATATGAAATAGAACCTTTTATTTATCTATTTATTTTTGAGACAAGGTCTCACTCTGTCTCCCAGGCTGGAGTGCAGTGGCACGATCACAGCTCACTGCAGCCCTGACCTCCTGGGCTCAAGCTGTCCTCCCACCTCAGCCCCCCAAGTATCTGGGACCACAGGCATGTGCTACCATGCCTGCTTTTATAGACAGGATCTTGCTGTGTTGCCCGGGCTGCTCTCAAACTCCTGGCCTCAAGAGATCCACCCACCTCAGCCTCCCAAAGTACTGGGGTTATAAGCGTGAGCCACCACTGCAAGTCTAAGAACAATTTTTTTTTAAATTATATACTGAGTTTAGAGAAACTTCAGTAAGTGATAGAATAGTTGATGGAGGAGGTTTCAGGTAGTGAGTGGAGCTGAGTGGAGCCATGAAGCTTGGGTATTATTTGACCCTAAAACAGTGCATTTTGGCAGAGAAGTGGTATGGACAATGACATGAATGTGTGTGAGCCCTATGTGTTTAGGTGACACTGAGGTGACTGTCCTGACTGCATTTCTTGGTATGTACTGGAGAGAATATTGGGAGAACTAGGACTGTACAGGTGGATTAAAGAGTTTTGAAAACCAGGAAAAGTTGTTCAAACTGAAAAGAATATTTACAGACAATGTAAAATTTGTTGTTGTTGTTGTTGAGACGGAGTCTTGCTCTGTCGCCCAGACTGGAGTGCAGTGGCATGATCTCAACTCACTGCAACCTCCACCTCCCGGGTTCAAGCGATTCTCCTGCCTTAGCCTCCCAGGTAGCTGGGACTACAGGCATGTGCCACCATGCCTGGCTAATTTTTTTGTGTATTTTCAGTAGAGATGGGTTTCACCATGCTGGCAGGCTGGTGTCAAACTCCTGACCTCAACTGATCCACCTGCCTCGGCCTCCCAAAGTGCTGGGATTATAGACGTTGAGACACTGTGCCCGGTCCAATGTATATATTTTTAAATGGAGTATTAACATCAGCAGGTTATTGGTATTGGTACATAGAATAGGTTAGGTATGATGGCAAAAGCTAGAACACCTGTGGAGTAATGAGGTATAAATAACAAATGCCTCCTTACAAGTATATGTTGGTGCAAAAGTAATTGCAGTTTTTGCCATTCCTAATACTAGCATTCTAAATGTCAAAGGGCATAAATCTGAGATATTTTAAAGAAAGTAATAGCAGGGCTTTGTAAACAATAAGATTGAAGACAATAAGCACAGGGGAAAAGCTGTATGGAGAGTCTTAACATTGGAATCAGACAACAACAGTGTATATGTTTTTCACATAATAGGTTTATATTGCATATTGTGGCCTGGAGAAAAAGATTGGTGCCCTATAAACCAAAATGGCTGATCTCTTAGAATGCCTCATTTCCCAATATGTCAGAAGATGAGTATCTCCTAAATTACAATTTGTTTCCAATTTGAATATTTTGAGCACATTTCAACAAATGTCAGAGACTTACAAAATAGGAAAGGATATACCCCAAGAGACTGTAAGCTTCTTGGGGACTTTTTAACACTAATTTTAGATTGTTTAGAAACTTTTTAACACTCATTTTTGTAACCCCAGCACAGTGCATAACATTTTGTAAATGTTCATTTTTGGCAGAAAAGTGAATTCAAACTTTTGTTTAAAATTTGCTTTTTATGTATGGTTTATTCTGTGCAGTGAATAAATAAGCTATGCATAAATAACTGTGTGTTAAGTATAATTTTATAAAGGATTGTGTGTTTTTCTGTGGAAAGGTATATATTTAATTGTTCTTTAAAGAGTAGTGACCTGTTCATTAGCTTACACCTGTTTTGCAATGTTTTAGGCATTGTATGAGAGGAAATTTCCAGTTCCAAAGCCAATTGATTACAATCGTCATGCAGTTGTCATGGAACTCATAAATGGTTATCCACTGTAAGTATTCATTATTCTTAAAGCCATGAATGCTGATAAATGAATTTAGGTTTCAGGGTTTTTAATAAAATTTTTTTTAGTTAATGAAATACTGCCTCTGGGAGGTTAAAAATTGATTTAAAGGAATAGACTCAAAGACAAATTAAAAACCCAGTTTCATTCTGACAATATGAGCTTTGTAATCTCTGTGATTCATTCATTCATTCCATATTAAGAGACTGTTAGGTGCCAGGGCCTTTTAGTCTCAATAGTGAACAAAACAAAATCCCTGCCCTCATGGAATTTACATTCTGATGGAAGGAGATGTGCAATAAATAACTAAAGGAAATGTCTGTCAATTGTTAGTAAGTACTATGGATAAAAAAAAAAAAGCAGAGTTTAAGAGAGATAGGAAGTACTAACGGGACAAGAGACTACTGTTTTATGTAAGGTGGTTGAGAAAAGTCTCACTAATAAGGTGAAACCTTACCAAATTTTGATTCAGATTAGCAGCTATTGGAGTGGGAGTATTTTGAGCAGAGAAGAGATGTGATCTCATCAATCAGTGATCTCAGTGTTTTCAGAGGGTCACTCTGCCTGCTGAATTAATAGACTCTGGGGAGACAAAGATATAATTTGAAGACAAGTTAGGAGGCCATTACAATAATCTAGGCAAGAAATGGTTGTAATTCTGATTACAGTGATAGTTGTGAAGGTGATGAAAAGCAGTCAGATTCTGAATGTGTTCTGCAGGTTGAACCAACATGATTTGGGATTGGATATGGATGTGAAGGAAGGAATGAGACAATAGTGACACCAAAGTTTTTGACCTGAGTAGCAAATTAACTGGAGGGAGAAAGCTACCTTGTACAGAAACAGGAAAGCTACAGGAAGAGCATTTTGGAGTTGGAGGATGGGACAGAATCAGAGATTCCATTTTGGACATGTTAAGTTTGAGATGCCTGGGAGTTAGAGAAGTCTACGTTAAAATCAGTGTATATGTGGTATTTAAACCATTAATCTGGATGCGATCACCAAGAGTGAGTCTAAATAAGAGAAAA